AGGGGGAGGGGAAGGGGAGGGGGAGGGGAGTAAGGACGTCAGCAGAAAGCGAAGGGGTAGAATCTCACTGGATACTTCTCATTCGGTCATGGTCATAGTGTTTCCCTACCTGGCAGCAGTTCTTGGTAGGTCTCAATGTTAGTTTTTGGCATCTTTTTCTCACTTGCCAAATTATTACTCCAATAATGAAGATGGATCCATAGGTGTAAAGGGAGTACTCCACATCCCACAGAAGAAAGACAGGGCTCAACATGATCTAAACCTCAGCAGTCATCCCTCTTCCCCGGCTTCCAAGTCTTGGAACGTAAGGCCCCCAGGTTCTGTATCTTGTCGTCTCTGCCTCACAGATGACGGACCCAGAGCAGAGACTACATCACAAAGCCCTCCTGTTCCACAAAGCGGGCATCGCATCACAGAGTTTTGTCTGTCTTAGAGAAGCACATGGGGTAATTCAGTTGTTCAGATGAGGATTTCTGGTTGTCTGTGTAGGCTCCAGAGCCTGGGGTAAAAGACGCCCAGGTCACAGTCAGCGTGTACCATTCCAAGCACTTTGCGCTCCTTGAGCCCAATAGCTCGTCTCTCTACTACTACAGCGGTGTGACCCTTGTTCCCCCAGCTGACTGACTGTGCGCGCCATGGGCACCATGGTCCCCGAGTCAGAGGGAATCCATGAGGCTCATCATCTGTATTAGGAAGATAAGAGACACTTAAAAGATAAAGCAGGCATTATATGGTTAAGTCTTGGAACCATGTTTGTGATTCACAGGCAGTAGCGAATGATTAGGATTGAGAGATTCAGGAAGAGGATTAGGTAACATGTGTCAAGGAAAGCACAAAGCTGCCAGTGTCCTTTTAAATACTTCTGAGAGTTAAAGAAGGACCCCTCCCAGCTATGCGGTCCAGCTGAGGTTGGCAGGAAGAGACTGGAAACACTGCCTCCCATGGAGGAAGGGAACAGGGCTCATTGCTGGAGCTTTGTCTAAGGCTGTTTTCCAGAACTGTCTCTAAGGATCTTGTCACATCTGGCTTATTCATACAAATAGGATCTTTTGAAAGACTTTTGATTAAGGGCCACAAACCTGGGGCTCTTTGGTTGAATCCACCCTGGCTGGAAAGAGTGTTTTATGGAAATCTATATTTTTAAGCATGTTGGGATTTCCCCAGTTCAACCCTGATACCTACCATTCTTGTGTCCTCTGATTCAGACACTGCTATGAACTACAACAAGACAGAATGCCTCCAGCGCTCCAGGGTGTCTCAGCTTCCTCGAGAAGTTCTTGCCCTGATGAGTGAGCGGTCACAGGCCCCAAATCTCTGAAAAGACCACTTCACCTTCCTCCAGCCCCAGCCCTCCTCCAAACAGACCTGGGACCACGCAGGATGTTCTCCGCTCTGAGTCGGGCAGTGCTGACGACAGAAAGGCATCTGAGCTGTGTTGCCTGCTGCTGAGATGTTTTAAAGTGGTTTAAAGGTCAGACTAATTCACGTGAATTGAGAGCTAGCCTTCCTGGGGGGAGGAGGGGCAAGTAGGGACTTGGTGTTTAATGGGTGCAGGATTTCTGTGTGGGGCGATGAAGGAATTCTGGAAGTGAACAGTGGTAGTGACCACCCAACTTTGTAAGTGGCCTTTGTGCCACTAAACTGCACAGTTAAAATGGGCTGGGGATGCAGCTCAGTGCAGAGCAGGGCCCCGGCTTCAGCCCTTAACACCGCAGAAAAGAGGTGAAAATGGTAAATTTTATACTAAGTGCATCTTAACACAAAACCAAGACAACAGAAAATCATTAACATGACCATTTTACTCGCTATAAGGAAGAATATTTTGAAAATTATTTTGCAAAGAAATAGATTACTGTTTTTCTTAAATGTCTTTTATATAACTACAAAAGTAAAACAGCTCTTTACATTAGAATAATGCAAGAAGAGCCCCACACGAGGATGGAATGATTTTGAGCCACTTCAACTTTTTTGTCTGAACATGCGAGTTTCAAAATACAGGAAGTTGCTCAACTGAAGACACCAAATACCGGGTTACTGCAAGTCAAGTGAAAAGCAGCTGTGTCAGTTGTTTAGCAGCAGGTTAGCTGAACTGCAGAGTAGCTTGTATCTTTCGTAGATTGGCTGTCCCTAACACGAAAACCCAAATGCTTCAAAATCTGAAAATTTTTGAGTTGCCAAAATGATACCACACATGGAAAACCCCACACATGACCTCATATGACACGGCACGCTCAAAACACAGGCACTCTGAAAATACCATATAAGATAACCTTCAGACTAGGTGTAAAAGGTGTGTATAAAACACAAGCGAATTCCATCTTCAGGCTTTGGTCCTATTCTCTAGATACCTCACTGTGTATAGGAAAACATTCCAAAAGAAAATAATCTGGAGCCCAAAATACTTCTTGGCCTCAACTTTTCAGATAAAGGATACTAAATCCGTAGTGCTAAAAAAAAATGGTGTCCTAAAACCTTGCACCTGCCTAGACCAGTCTCTGCCGCCTGGGCTCAAAAGCTCCAACCTCAGCCTCCTGCGTGCTGGTCCTGCAGGCACCCAGCTATGTCCCACTGACTCCCAGCCGGCCGGGTCTAGGTTGTCCAGCTGCCCTCTAGGCTTCTGCTGACAGTTCTCTCTCCCACTCACTCGACCGCTAGTCCCCGACACAGGGAACTAGCAAGCCCTGCGCCTGCCAGCCCGGGCACTCTTCACCTCACAGCTAACACGGCCACTGTCATCGCGCTGAGCGGTTCAGCCTTCCGCTGCAAACTCCTCTCCAGCAGCTTGCCCAAGCCCTGCTCCCGCCTCACAGCGGAGGAGGTAGAGATGCACGCTAAACCCGAAAGGTTTCCTGTCTTTCTTTCAGAATCCCCTTTAATGCAAGTTTGTTCACTGATTTGGTCCTCATTATAGAGGGTGCCTATGGCAGGACACCGGAATCAGAGTCTTCAAACTCGGGGCCCATTTACGCGATGAGCGCAGCTCGCCCTGCATTTTTAATGCTGGGGTGTTACACGTGGGGTGCACACCACCTTCACCCCTCCTGCCGCAAGGCTCGACCAGCAAACAAGCGAACGAGGTACATGAAAAGCCGCTGTGAATCACTCAGCCGTAAGAGATTCTTATTCATTTGCTTTTGGGAAACTTGTTTAAAGCCAGACCCTGCTTCCTTTAGCGTGCTGCAGTCCACAATTATTGTTAATTTCCTCATGAAACTGTTCATGGTTACCGACTCACAAACATTACGGATCACACAGCCTTGCGAAGAAAAATCCTGAAACGCCGCTGATGGGAGTCTTGTCCCTCTACAGCAGCCTTTGGAAGGTTTCACGTGTCTCATCCTCAGGTAACACTGCTGGGCAGTAAGATGTACCAACACGTTGGGGACAAAGGTACAGAATTCCTGCCATTCAACAGCAGCTCTTCTATGCGTGAACATCTCTGCTAATGCCCAAGGGCCCAACTTTCCAGGCGTTGGAGCAGAAGCCCTGGAGCAGCGTGAGGCAGGGAGACCTAAGAACTCACAAGAAATGAGACGGGCGCCCTGTGCGGCGGTGCGGTGGGCGCTGGCAGACGGCAGCCAGGGGCGCTAGGGGGCAGCACCTGCCCACCGATACTTCTAATCCTAGGGAGGCTCCGGAGGAGCAGACACCCTGTCAGGTGATCCGCTTGAGGGGCTCTCAGTCATATCAGTCCTAGCCTTAAACCAGAATCGCTGGGAGACTTGTGAAAATACAGATTTCTTGGCCTCACCCCAGGCTTAATGAATAAGAATTCTCTAGGAGCAGAGCCCAACAACCTATTTATTAAATAAGTATTAAATAATCATTAAGCATTTGTGCCCTGGGCTACCTGTATGTATTTAGGAGTGACTAACGCTCGAAGAGTGATAATTCTCAGTATTACTAGACCTTGATGAGACTGTGATGAAAGAAACTATATCCCTCTCCCTACATTCAAAATTTGATTCAATTTCAGTGGTACGGGCTTTACTTATGGGCACCCTAGGGATCCAAGAAACCTGGTAAAGAAGTTTGCATATGGTTCATGTCTAGCCAAAGACTACAGCTCAGAAATGGGACCCTCATCAGGGCCAGAGTCCCTCATATTCTCGAAGTTATGAGAAAAGGGAAGATACAAATTAACAACATTGAGAATGACAGAGGTGGAGAGGTAACTTAGCACAAATTCCAAAAGTATTAAAAGGATGATCTGTCCATAATATGAACACTGTAATGTGTATAAGCTGACAACTCAGATGGAATGGACTTCCATCCTCTGGATGTGTCCCCTCAGAACTCACGTGGAGAAAGCTAGTCTTCGACACAACAGTGTTGGAAGGTGTTTGTGTCGCTATAACAAAGGCTGCAGAAATGAATTCTTTCTCTTCTGCCACTCAGGGACCGAATATTACCGGTATCATAAATAGTAGCCAGACATTATGTACATTCTGAAGGAGTATACCTAGGTACACTGCCTGTGAGGTATTCTTGCTCAAAAGAATTGCACTTACATCTGATCAAACTCCTGAGTGTAACTACCAGGTTACAGGAAGCACAGATAAACATGCGGAAACCTCAGGCATGCAGTGAGGAGAGGCCGGTGGTGAGCAAATGATCCAGGTTCTTTACCAAAATTTTAAGGAGACAATGAGAGCAATGGGGCAGAACCTATGTAAAGAAGAGACAAGAGACACTGCGGTCAACTACAATTTAAGGATTATATTTGTATTCTGATTCCAGCAAAATAAAAATAAGTTTATAAGCCGATCGGGAACTTAAACACTGATTGGATATTTGATGATATTTAGAACTTATTGTGATCTTTCTAGGTTTATTTATGACAACTTGGTCATTTTTAAAGTGTGTATTTCTTTCCAATCATATTTTATTGGTACGCTTTAGGTAGGTAAATGGTCACATTTATCACAGAGAATTTGTACCTGTACATGGTATAACTTGTGCCTTTTTCTTCCCATTGCCCCGCCCTCACTTCAACCCCTCCTCTCCTCTTTGTTTACAAAACCTTTTTTCAATTTTTTCCTTCTTTTTTTGTTTTTTAAAACTCTTCTCTTCTTTCCTTTCCCCCTCCCCGGTGCCCTTTCCTATTTGAGCGTTGTCTTCCTATTTCACAACACCTATGGTATATTTCGATCCTTATTTACACTTTCAGTTTCTCACACCAGAGAAACAACACAGTAATTATACGTGTGTTTGATTTATTTATCTAGTATGGTCTCAAGGTGTATCCATTTACCTGCAAATGTCTCAAGCTTATCCTTTTTTTGGCAGAGTACTACTCCATTATATAAGAAAACCACATCTTCTTAATCCATTCATCAGCTGATGGGCATTCGGGCTGTTTCCAAGACT